TGCGCCGCCCACGGCCCGGCCCGCCCCGCCACGCGCGCGAGGCGCATTCCGCGGCAGGCGCGCAGTGAAAGGACAACGGGGGCGGGCGGGCGGGCGGCGGGCGGCGACGCGTGGCGAGCACGGGAACGGGGCGCTCTCCTTGACCCCGCGCCGCGGCGCAGCGCTCCGGGTTCGAGCCCGCGGCGCGACCGAGCGGCGCGGCGCGCGCAGGGTGTCGCAGTGACGCGCAGTCGTTTCGGGCCTCTCGCAGAAATCTCGCGCTCTGGGAAAGGAGACCAACTCGAGGAGCCTGCAGGAACTGCATTTGGAACGTTGTATCTGAGGCTTCGAAGACACATTGTGCAATCGAAAGTGTGGATTTGCCGGTCAGGGTGGCCGAGATCGCTAAGGCAGAAGTGTCTGAAGTGATCTCGGACGCGAAGAATCGTAGGTTCGAGTCCCGCCTCGGGCATGGTTGATTGTGTTCGTCTTTTCGCGCCTAACATCATCATATCGTGTCCTCCTATAGTTACCATCGGGTTTCTCGCAAATAGTGGTCCCTACTAGAAGTTGATGCGACCTTAATAAACAAAAAGAAATTGGTGACTTGATTATATTGGCGATCGATTCGGAATAGAAATTTTGCATTATAGAAGCTGTATAGAGGGGATATTTTGGCGGGCGCGGCCCCGCCACCCGAGGAATCCCAGCCGCTGATTGCAGGCGGCGGAGTGCCCGCTGTGGAATTCCGCCCCGGAACCGCCGTTCTCGAGGTGGATGAGCCGATAGGCCCCTTCCTTGAGACAAGGGAGTTGCAGGGGAAGGCTCTTTCAACGAGAAGGAAGCAAAGTTCTTTACAAATTCGAATTCAACAATATTAATGGAGGATTAAATTAACTTACTGGATACAATGTAGTTTTCCATTGCGTCATAATTACTAACAATTGTCTCTAACATTATTCAATAAATAAGTGTAATGTTTGATCGCAACTCCTGCAAAGTAGGTTTTCTAAAGATGTTAAATACGTCCATTTATTGCTACCTGAGGCTTTCGAAACCACATATCAATTAAATCCGCACTACCCCACACTCCTATGTGTGTTACCATGCTGAAATTACTATATACGGTCTTCCGTCGTAGAAATATACCATTAATGTACAGCCTCGACTCACTGCCATAAAAATTGAAGCCAATCAATCAAGTAATGTACAAGAGAAATAGGTTATCAATTAACGAAGCACCCCGATTACCGTATTCGGTTGCACGGGAAAACAGGAAGACAATCCATCCAGCAATTAAACGGGGCGTCTTCCACGGTGATTTACCGGGCAACGCGAGTACAAGGAAAACAGGAAGCGGAGAAAGTCTCTGTAAAAGCTCAGAAAGTAGAATGAAGTCTAAGAGGAGGCAAGATTACGACCTACGCTATTCGAGAAGGAAAGGACATCTGCTCGTTTTCTCAGAACGTCCAATAAATCGAATACTTAAAGGAACTGACAAAAGATTTCTACAGACGAACGCTCTCGAATGGTCGCAGGCTCTGTAGCCGAGCTTCAGGAGAGCTACAAACTCGCAGCAGAAAGAGATCGCTTACACCTGCCAATGTTTAGTTTCCCGAAGAAAGGTCTATAATTCCGCACCCCTTAATGAGACTCTCACGTTAACATTGTACCGTTACCGAAAGGAAGTTTAATGAATACCTCGAATTTAGATCATAAAAGCAACACCACCCGAATTTTCCGGAAGGCACTGAAATTAACGAATAACAAACAATTCTAGCAAAGAGCAGTACTCGCTCCGCATCGTCGACTTCATCGAACTGACCTGCCTGCGTAGTTCAGTCGTTCCCAGCGGCGGTTCCCGCGCGGAACAAAATAAGAACACCACTTAGGGCGAACCATCACATAAGAATAGCAATGTT